TTGTAACGACTATTATCATACAGTAAAAGGTGATCCTGCATTTCCGAAAAAATTTCTAGGACATATCAAAAAGGTGGGATCTTATGTTTGGTCTTTGAGGAATATCATAAATTGCGTACGTAAAGATATGTACAAAACCTATTTTTCTAGTATAGATATGAATTTATTAGATCCTATTCATGCCGATCAACCCATATCTTCGTGGAAAGATGTTGTCCAAAATTTTTTTCGTAATCAACAAAAAGGATATGAAAATTTCAAGAAAACACGTTTGAAAGATTATGTGATAAGAAGTAGACTGGAAGAGATATATGGTGGTGTAGATAAGCAACTGGAGAGTGAAAATGTTAGTCACATATATTTACACGCGGAATTGAATGTATTGACCAATATAATGAATAATGACAAGGAAAGGAAATTTATAGCAGTTTCCAAGAAATGCTGTTATTTATGTGAATCGTATATCAGATTTGCAAAAACCAAAGGACATACTATTGCCTTCTCTGGATCACATAAGAAATTATATCATGGGTGGAAACTTCCAGACGCCTTCAAGAAAGAATTTATGTCAAATACTCTCTTTGATCTCGATCAGATCATAGAGCGTGAAATAGAGAGTCATATTAGTATAAGTGCTAGGTCTGATAGTGGTGCAGAAAGTGGATCCGACAATCCAGATTATGATGATAGTGAATTGCTTGGTACTTTGGGTGATACTTTCGAATTTTAGTTTCTATTGTAAGAATAAGGAAAATATTTTATCAATAAAGTATAACACTTGGCATACACATATTTAAAAATTTGAAGTGAAACTTTATTTTATGAATAAATTATCATTTAAAGAGCCGGAACAAAGTTAACTAATAATATTTTGGAATAGTAGACGTTTAAAGGGAGAAACATCTCGAGCCCTAACCCATGAGATGAGAGTTCCTTTCCACTACTCCGAATTACTACATATCTAATCATAAACTAACATCATCTAATGTATTATAAGCTCATCCTTCTTTTTAACATTTCTCTCATAAAAACCCTATAACTTTGTTCGTATAATGCACGAATTTTCATCTCTACATGAAAACATTTCTTCTAAGTTAAACTTAATTCGATCGAAAATTTCCTTGAATTCGGTCCAGATATTTAGACTGATACCTTTAAATGATATTGGGTCCGAGTCTGTTAGAAAATTATATTAGCAAGGTATAATAAAAGACATGAGTTATAGTAGCATATTTTT